ATGTCTTTTTGGGTTCCCCTGTATTCCTGCTATAAGTGAAACCATCTGATATTTTTCTTTTTCCTTCTGGCTTATTTCACTGAGCATAATTCCTTCTAGTTCCATCCATGTTGCTGCAAAAGGCATGGGTTTATCTTTTTGATTGCTGAGTAATATTCCATTGTGTATATATGCCACATCTTCTTGATCCAGGCATCTATTTTTGGGCATTTGGGTTGTTTCCAGGTTTTACCTATTGTAAATAGTGCTGCAATAAACATAGGAGTGCAGGTGTTCTTTTGGATCAATGTTTTTGTGTCCTTTGTGTAGATCCTTAGGAGTGGAATTACAGGGTTGTATGGTAGCTCCATTTTCAGTAGACTGAGGATCCTCCAGACAGCTTTCCATAGTGGCTGGACCAGTTTGCACTCCCACCAGCAATGTAGGAGAGTTCCTTTTTCACCACATCCTCGCCAGCGTTTGTTGTTGCTTGTTTTTTTTGATATGTGCCATTCTTACTGGTGGAAGGTGATATCTCAATGTGGTTTTGATTTGCATTTCCCTCATTATAAGGGATGTTGAACATTTTTTCATATGCCTGTTGGCCATTTGCATTTCCTCTTTGGAGAAATGTCTTTTAAGTTCTTCTGCCCAGTTCTTGACTGGATTGTTTGATTTTGTTGAGTCATGTGAGTTCTCTGTATATAATTGTGACCGGTCCCTTATCAGTTGACTGGCGTGCAAAGATTTTTTCCCAATCAGTGGGGGTGTCTCTCTGTTTTGGTTAATGCATGACAGATTTTTTTTTGTGACTCATAAACTCACTCACATAGGAAGTCAAAATGAAAAAATCATGTATTTAACAACTAGATTATAAAGCAATAAACTCTGATGATTATACTAACTATCCTTCATTACACTTCTCATTCTCAACTGATCCTGCGTATGTGAGCTACCTCTTTCCCATCCACAGCATGTTCCCTCTCTTATTCCCTTTACTCCTATGGGGCTAATCAGCAAAGGTTTGAAGCTCACATATTTGTCCATTTTTTTCCTACAAATATTTACTATGTACCAAGCACTGTTGAAAGCACTGGAATTAATATTTTTTTCTTTCTTTTAGAATACATAATTTTTGGTGCAAAATTGTATCTTTAATCTTTTTTAACTGGTAAAGTATGTCTAATTTCAAAATCAAATCATAATGTCATATAGTACAAAAAATTAACCTATAGGAATGTTCCATATGACATAATTTAGAAAGAAATAATTGCAAAATGACAACTATTTTCAGTGTTCCAATGGACAGAACGTTCTGTCCATTCCATTAGTACCACTACTATACATTTACAAAAATGTTTCAGATACATCTACAAAGAAAATCAGTCTCAAATGTGCTCCAAAATTTGGTAAACCTGGATATGTTATAGTCACCTGTGTTTCCATTTAGAAAAATTCAATTTACTTCTTCATTTCAAAATTTTGAGTATTCTGATCAAAATAGAACAGTTAGTTCATGTTTAATATACCTCCTCTAAATCAATATGTAGCAAAAGTAAATAAAAACATAAAAGGAAAAACCCATAACATATGTCTGGATATAAATCCTATTAAAAGATTGCCTGTGCACCACAAGCAGAAGAGAAATGCAAACAGTTGAGCAGGGCTAAGGCCATGCTCACTCCAGGCTCCTTTCCTGAAGAAGGCAGTGACAGGAATTCAGGGAAGGAAAACTGAAGATATTTCATGAAAATTAGAGGACAGGAGTCAGGTTAGAACAGAGGGATTAGGTAGGACTCCTGGCAAAACAAGGTTGAAATCTGCAATTGCCCACTATCTGGGTTGATGGTTTTGTTGAATGTTTCAAAAGCAAGAGCATCAAACTTGTCTTATACATGAGCAACTGTACCACTTGCGCCTGACCTGGGAACAGATATCATATTTCTGCTGAAACCATAGACAAATGTTCCTCATTTCTGTACAGTATCTGGTTTGGAGGTGCTCTCTAAGACATTGAATGAACAAAGCTGCAAAGCTACTAGACAGTGTAAATAAAAAGAAAGGGATCTCATGCAAAATTAGGCTGCAAAGCAAAATTTTTTTTAAAATGTAAAGAATTCTTATGCTGTGAAAGTGATCTAGTCAAAAAACAACAATTGCAACATAATTTTATTACAAGTGAAAGTTCATGGACTCTGTCTAGCAAAAATTAAAAATGTAAAATTGAATGTTTAAGAAGAAAATGAAAAAATATATGAATTATTTTAGGAAAAAATATGAAAAAGTCAAATTAATTAAAAACAGAACTAGACATCCTGGGAAGTAAAAAATAAAAATCCAGTGATTGAAATAAAAAATTTAAAAATGGGATAAATTTTGAAACAGAGACAATAAAAGAGAAAATAAATTGGAAAATTTACTGAGGGATTTATCCATATCAAAGTATATGGAACAATATATTATTTAAAATGTTAAGCATAGCGATCATATACCTCCATATGCCTGGGAGAGTTCCACTTTACGTCTATTATTTTCATGTAATAATGGCACTCCCTTAAATTTCCAAAAATGTCCCAGTTTAAATAATAAATTCATAGTCATCCAAGTATTAAGAAATTCATGGAGCTGATTGAAAGAAATAGGACTGCCAAAAGAGTAGAATTTGGAGAATCACAAAGAAGCAATATTTGAAAAGAGCTGTTAATTTTCCACAATTTAATGAAGACCTGTGTCCTGAAATTTAAAGTGAACTGTAAGAATGAAAAAAATAAATTCACACATAGACTCATCATAGTGAAACTGGAAAGCAAGAATTAAGAGGCACTTTTCCCTGTTATCAGAAGAAAAGAAAGAATGCCAACAAAAATGGTAATTAAACATTAAACCAAGCAGGTTTCTCACCAGTAACAATAGACACCATAAACAATGGGGAAATATATTCAATGTAATGAGGATATGTCAATGGAGTTAGTATATTATATCCAGATAACTAGGCAATGAAAACATACTGGAAAAGAAATATTCAACCTATAATTAGAGTATATTTAGGCTCTTGGGTTTAAGAAGAAAAATAATTTCAGAAAAAAAAATATAATTTTATTTATAAATGTAGCTTCTATGTTGAAAACAGTTATTTTTATGGATATTAACAAAGAATCTAATTTATCTAAATATGGAAATGTAAAGGACTACAGCAAGTCAGTGATTTCCTATACAAAATGAATTTTTTTTGGAATTTACTTATTGAAGTAACATTACATTATAACATAAGTTTCAGGTGTGCATTATTATATGTCAACATCTGTCTATACTATATTAAGCTCACCATCGATAGTTCAATTCTATTCTTTATATAATTGACCCCTTTTATTCAACTTAGCCATCTTCCTCTTCCCCTTCCCCATTCCCTTCTAGTAATCACAAACTTTGTCTTATATCTACAAGTTTTTTTTATTTAATTCATTTATTTGGATTCTCTATATACCACATTTATGAGTGAAATCATACAATGTTTGTCTTTCTCCGTCTGACTTATTTCATTGCACATATTATTCTCTAGGTCCAACATGTTGCTGCAAATGATTGGAGTTTGTATTTTTTATACATCTGAGTAGTCCTGTGTGTGTGTGTGTGTGTGTGTGTATCTACCACATCTTATTTATCCATTCATCTATTCAGCTATTCCAGCTATCGGTGGGTTCTTAGATTGTTTCCAGCTCTTGACTATTCTAATGCTGCAGTGAATGTGGCAGTACCAAATCTCTTTGTATTGATGTTTTTTATCTTTTGGGTACCCAGAAGTGGGATAACTAAATTATATGGAATTTCTATTTTTATTTTTTTGAGGAATCTCAATAGTGTTTTCCATAATGGCTATACCAGTTATATTTCTATCAAGTATACGAAGTGTTCCCCTTTTTCCACATCCTCTCCAATACTTGCTTCCTGTCTTTTGGATAATAGTTGTTCCCATGGGAAGTTTTGATAAGTATTTACATTATTATAAGAGATTATGATTATCTTTTCATATGCTTATTGGCTATCTGAATGTCTTCTTGAAGAACTGGCTGTTTGGATTCTGTGTCCATCTTTTAATCAGGTTATTTGGTTTTGTTGTTGAAATTCATGAATTCTTTATACAGTTTGGACATTAACCCCTTGTCAAACATATGATTTGCAAATATCTTACTAGTAGAGTGACTTTCATTTTGATGTTAGTTTTGTTCCTGAGTTTCTAGAAGCTTCTTAGTTTGATACAGTCCCATTTGTTTATTTTTTGCTTTTGATTTCCTTGCCCCTGGAGTTGAATTCCCAAAGACGTCTCTAAGGTTGATGTCAAGGAGTATATAGTCTGTTTTCTTTTATGTGATGTGTGGTTTCAGGTATTACATACAGTCTTTAATCCTTTTTAAATTAATTATTTGTCAGCATGTGGCTGTCCAGTTTTTCCTATTCCATTTATTGAAGATGATTTTCTTGTTCCAAAGTATACTCTTAGCTCCTTTGACATAAATTAACCACATATGTTGGACTTGTTTCTGGGCCCTCCACTATATCCCATTAATTTGTGTGTCTGTTTTAATTCAATACCATGCTACTTTAATTACTCTTACTCTGGTGTATTCATATACTGGTTTCCTCTATGACACTAGAATATCCAACAACATAGATGAGTCTAACAACATAACATTGAGTAATAGGAGTCAGGCATAAAGCATTCATATGTTGTTATACCATTTACACAAAGTTCAAAACCAGCAAATGTAATATATAATAGGGAATAAAAGGTAGGGGATAGACTGGAAGAAGGCATAAAGGATAGTTTGGGGTGCTGGTAATCTTCAACTTCTTGGTAGGGCTATTGTTGCACAGATTTGTTTTCTTTGTGAAAATTAACTAAAGTGTATACTTATGTATGTAAATATGATTATTTCTGTATATTTGCAACACATAAAAAAATAAAGAAAAACAGATACCCAATATAGATATAGAAATAATCTTGATCACTTTCAAACTACTAGATGCATCAAAAGAAGTGAGAAGAGGAAGACAGAAAGGAAGAAAAATCAGAATATACATAATGCTTTATCAATCCCACAGGAGGTAAGAAAGAAGAGGAAAAAGAAATCAAAGAACATGTACAGTAAGCAGAAAACACAAAAGGAGGTGGTAGAAATAAATCCAAATATATATGATATCAGCATGCATATAAACAGAAAAAACTCATCTGTTAAAAGATGAGTTTGGAATAACAACAACAAATTCAGCTATATGCTGGTTAATAAAATTTGAGTATAAAGTTTTGAGAAACTCAGTATATTTTACATGGTACGTTACAAGAACAATGCCCAAAACAACAAAACAATTTTGCACCTAATAATATAACTACCTAAGAATGAAAATGCTATTTCATATGGTAGATCTATTTTTAATATTTTGAGAAACCTCCATACTGTCTTCTAAAGAGACAGGCAGGTGGTGGTTATGTGTACCCCACCAACAGTGCATAAGGATTCCTTATCCTCCATACCCTAGTCAATTCTTGTTTCTGGTCTACAGCAATACTCTTAATCACTTTTGTTTATTGTTTTTATTTTTCAGTAGCCTAAATTATTTCTCATCTATTTTCCTGAATAAAACACTAATATGTGGTGAAACATACATAGCATCATAGAATGTTGTAGTTTAAAGAAATCTTACATATTATATACTCCAACCTTCATTATACAGATAAGGAAATTAGGTTAAGTAATTTTTCTGAAATGACCAAAGCTAGTTGGTGTCAGGGATAGAAATAAAACAAATTTTCATATTCTCAATATATTGCTCTGAAATCTCTCACATTCACAAATGTTCCTCTGTGTTAAAAAGACTATTTTATTAGATTCTACTGATGACAAGTATAAAATTGGCCATTATCCATTTCTTTGGGCTGTAATGTGAGAATAAATTGCAATATTGCATGTGATATACTTCAAGAGATTTGTATGTCAATCATTTTAAATGCACAGGTAAAAAGCAAAAAAGTGAATATATTTTAAAAGATAAGAATATTTTAATTGTCTGTATTACCAAATAATTCATCTCTTCTTTATGCTGGCAATTATTTTTTTCGATACATTGCTATTATCTCCTCTAATTCCAATACCTTCCTACTTTCTGCACATAAAAATTTCCAAAAGGAAGAGAAAATTATTCTACCTTGTAATTTTGTCATCTGATTATTTTTTTGAAATTTTATCCGAATGATTCTACTGGTTTTTCACACTCCAATAGACAGCCACCTGCCACCTCCTTCATAAAAGTAATATCCCATTTAATTTTCTACTCTATATAAATAATTTCCTCCCTTGGAGGAGGGGAAAATGCATGGGGTGATATTTATCCTTAATTTTTACCAGTATTTCTGTTGAGCTTTATAGTGTTATGCTAATATAGTTTTTTGCCTTTGTGAACATTATATTTAATTCCTCCTATTTTCCTTTGAGATCATAATCCCTTCCATCTAGTAAACTTTCAGTCAAATGCTAAACTTTTATTACTTTTGAAAATGTTCTTTGCAATGTTTTCTGTACAATTATGAGACACCTAAGTGATTCTGTAATTAAGAATTTCCTAACAATGTTCTTTTAAGCCATGTAACCACTATATACCAATAAAAAAAAAGTTTGCTAATGTCATTTATCCCTACCTCTGCTTGTGGGCAAACATAAAGTAAGTTGTACTAACAGAGGAACTAAAACATATTTTCCTCTTACTCAGATGCACATGGCCTGGGAAAGATGGAAAGGACCACAAAGTGTGGCCCCAGTATTCCTAGCTCCTCAGCAGATTTTTACTGAAGCCTTGGAAAGGGACAACTTTGTTTAGAGTGATGGCCAGAGATGGCTTTATCATGAAACTGAAGAAAATTAATCCCTAGTAATATGACCAGTTATATGTCTTGGGAAAATTTGTAGAAGTTACACATTTTTATTGGAACCAGTTGAGACTATTGTCGTTTTTGATTGCAACTTCTCATCCATCATACCTCTGCTGGCAGGAGGTCCTACAGCAGCTGTGGATAATGTTGGTTTAGGGGTATATACTTATGTGGTTCATAGTCAAATCCACACATAATCAAATCACTGCTAGTTATCCTACCTAACATTTGCTTCCAAAAAAACTACCATTTCCTGTGACAATGCATCCATCATGTTACACAAAGGTAACAATCCCACAATTCCACATCCTAGAATTATGTGGGTAGTGAGCATAAATGAGGTTTGAAATATCAGGAAATATAAATTAATCTGTGGAAAATTCTTCTAATAATCAAATACATGAAATTGTGAGTGAAGATTTGACTTTCATTAACTCTCAGTCAAACCTGAAATCCTCTCCTATTTAAAACATAAGATAATAATCTGAAACAATAGGATTCACATGTAGAAGATAGTTGGTAGAGATTTTTCCAAATTTGACAATCCTAAAACTTCATGACATTAATGATAACAAGATGTGGAAGCAGAACGTTTCAGAAAAACTGAATTCTATAAATTTTGATCAGTAATGCTTAGGGAAAGACTCAACTACCTGCCTCCTATTGTCTTTATAAAAATATTATAAAGTTGATACTTCATGAAAAGATGATCAAAAGTCTATAGTTGAGAAATAAAAAGGCATCAGTTAATTTTATATATGTATGATTTTTTTTTTAGGATTTTTCTGTTTGTGGTATTAACTCTTGAAAGTTGTACTTAAATGTGACTTCTTTCTCATTCATATTTGAACTTGATTTTCTATTCATAACTAGTATTTTTCTTTAAATGGTTCACAAAAATCATATAAACTGTGGTTTCAAGAAAGCCTGGGTTCCCTTGGTAATGACACAGCTTCACTAACCTGGATGAACTTGCTAATTAGGAACAGCACTGGCAAAAGACATAAGTTAAAAAGGAAAATAGAAAATACTTTCTTCTCACACCCCACCATGCTTTGGGACTGTGTTATTTGTAAAAATGGAACTCTGAGCTTTAACAGAATAGAAATCATGGTGTTCTAAGGGAATGATGTTTTGTGTTTTGTTGAATTTATCACAAGAAAGGTGATCAAAATTGATTCATATAATGTTCTTGAAAACGTGAAGGCTTAATGCCTCCCAGCTCCATCCATGTTGCTGTGAATGGCATGAGTTTATCCTTTTTGATTGCTGAATAATATTCCATTGTGTATGTGTACCACATCTTCTTGATCCAGTCATCTATTTTTGGGCATTTGGTTTGGGATTATGTACAATGAAATAAACCAGAAAGCAAAAGAAAAATATTGGATGGTTTTACTTATAGGAGGAATGTAGGGGAACCAAATTAGGGATCAGGAAAAAAAATAATTATAATAAATTAAAAAACAGACAGAGACACTCTGCAGGGGAAGAGGAGGGAGAGGGATCAAAACAGGGGAAGGAAGAACACAAGGGACTATGGTGGTGGTGCACCAGTGAATTGGTGATGGGAATTTCACGGGAACTACACCTGAGAGGAGAAAGCATACATTGTACGAAAAGGAAGAATGATGTAAAATATATATAAAATAAAAAGGAAATGTAAAAGTCTTCAAGAGGCTTGACAATAAATGAAGACTTTATGACTTTAAGGAAATTCTGTTACACAATTTTTCCACCTTAGCTAAAACTACTTATTTAAGGTTAAAGATGCTATTGCTATGGACAAAGGGTTGAGAAAAAGAAAAATGAAAATATATTCATCACTCCTGTAACTTGGAATGGGATCTATCTAATCACAGTCTCTAAGGAAAAGTTGCTATATATTAGTTGAAAATGATGTGAAATTGTTTTAGGAGGCTTAATAGAGTAGAAACATGCTAAAAAATACTATTTTGCAGTGTGAATCGTTCATTTTAATTTTTAATTTAAAAAAAGTTAAAGCAACAAAAAATGTTCACTAGGATCACCAATTAATATTTTACCAGATGTACTCTTTCCTATTTCTATGTATTTCCTCTTCTTCCACCATCCCTACTCCAGCAGAACCCTTTGAGAATAGGTTGCAAACATCATGACACTCAGCATTAATTATCATATATCCCCTAAAGAGAAAGGCGTTTTCTGCATAACCACAACATCATGTCATAGCCACAATACCATAAAATTAGCAATCTCCAAGAAGTTCACACCAATATAGTAATACCATCAATTTTGAAATCTGTATTCCAAAATATCTCACATCAGTTTTATTTTTTCCAGAATCTAATCAAGAATCATTCATTGCAGTAGTGTTTATTTCTCCATCATCTCTTTTAATATAAAATATCCCTACTCAATTATGCTAAGTGAAATAAGTCAAAAGGATAAAGACAAATACCAGATTATTTCACTTGTGGCATATAGAAAAAACAACAACACTACACACACACACACACACACACACACACACACAAACTGACAAAACTAAACCAAAAAAACCCTAGAAATATGACTGAAGAATTGAGGCTACTAGACAAGATGGAAGTGAGAATAAATGATCTAGGGCAAAGTTACAGGTGTTTAGTGGTAGGTGGGGGTGGTAACATACATCTGAGGAGGAGGGAGCCTATGCCTCTATATCATAAAAAGTGTTGTAAACCAATGTTACCTTAATAAAGGGGAAAAAGATTCCCCCTCATAATTTTGTTGCTTTTTATGACAGACTTTTTTTTTAACAGTTCAGGCCAATAGTCTTATATACAATGTCGCAAACATCAACTTCATCATTTCTTTATAATTGAATTCATATTAAACATTTTTTGCAAGATCACTGTATAAGCATACTTTCCACTGTTTCACATCAAGAAGTACATAGAATGTTGATTTGTCCCATTACTGGTAATGCTAACATTGATTATTTGGTTATAATGGTGCTCCTCATTTGTATATATGTTAATTTTATTATTCTCTCAGGTTTCTCAAAAATATTATCCCATCAGTTATAAATAGGAATAGTTTTAATTCTTTATTTTTCCTAACACCCATCACGCCTCTACTTCTTTTTTTGTATCTGAATGCATTGTCCAGCACTCCCAATTCAGCATGAAAAATAATGAAGATAATGGGCATCCTTCTTAGGGCAATTTTTGAGACAGAAAAATGTAGTGGTGTTCCATTTTCCGCAGTTATAGTAAGTGCAATGTGCTAGAGCAATTGGCAAGTGTCCCCAGGCAGGAAACCTGCTTTATTTGTGATACTCCAACAGATGTGTTTCTGTGGAGTTAAATTTAAGATCCAATTTTCTTTTAAGGTAGAAATCAAGGGAACTTTCTAATACCTCAAAGAAGTTCAGAGAAATTCTGTGGAATTACACATAGCAAATTGCTGTCTTTCTCTGTGTTGATGAGGTGGTTTAATAAAAGCCATAGAGATTCTGGTGATAAGAATTGGATATGCCTTTATGAGAGCAAGTCTAAGGGCAAAAGTCAGATTCCAGTTACTGGTGGAATAATGGAAAACTAAATTCATTTGTGTTTTTATGATTATAAGGTATTTAATTCACTCTCTTCTTAAATGTGTATGTGACTGAAGATTTTTTGGTAGAGGAACCTTGAAAAAAATTTTGTCATAGGACAACAGAGTGTATCTTTTGTAATATGTTCTGACCAAATGCATTCAATGCTAAGGCTGTCATCTCATTTTCAAATTGCTGTTGCATGCAAGTGATCATAAATAATAACGTTTTTGAGTAGAGATTTTCTAGTGTAAGTATTTAATAGATCTTCTGAAATTTTATTCAGTAACAATTAATCTTGGGTGTAATTTGAAAAAAAGTTAGATCAGCATAGTACATGATCCAGAGTAATAATCTAATTTACAGTAAAAAAATAAGATAGCAATATTTATACATATAAAGTAACTGAAAGAGAAGTTATGTATCAACTCAAGGAAAAAGAAAGCTTAAAAAATACTAGTGTTTTCTTACTAATATACTTATGAAGGAAAAGTTTTTTCCCAAGCAACTGGTCAATAATGAAAATATTCTGTATGAATCAAATATAGAAAAGTTGTCCTTGAATGGGGAGTGTTTTCATCAGAACTTCTTGCAGTTGCTATTAAATTTAACTACCTTTTTTGATTGCATATAAAGGAAGTTCCATGCACAGGGGAAAGTCAGTATTTTGACAAAACTCTAAAAGTGGAATGGATTCAAGATAAAAAAGTGTTAGGGGGGTACAACTAAAAAAACCTTTGATAGTTTCATGGTATCATTTTGCTTTCATTTCCTACTTTAACATAAATTTTTCCCAGTTAATATTTTAATTTATGAGGCAAAAGACTTCATGTATTACCTTCATTTTAATCATGTATTGTCTGTATAATTGCCTCAGTACTTCACTTTTCACATGTCAGCACAGCTTTTCAACATTTATTATGTGCCATGACTATGGAGAGATAGAAAATCATCCCTGTTTTCAAGGAACTCACAGACTACTGATGGGGGCAGAAAGAGGAACTAACAACTGCAAGTTGGAGGCTAAAAAGGAGAGTACAGTAATCTCAGAAAGAAGGGCAAAATTAATACTTCTGGGGGACATTTGGAAAAAATTTGTATCATAGAGACCTACATGGTAGAAGATGGGTCAAGGAAAAGCAGGACTTCATTAAAAAAATGAAATGTTTGAGAATGGTAAGTCCTCTAGAGTAGTGGTGACCACTTGTTTAATATCTGTCTCCCCATTTCAAGATAGATAAAGCTAAGAACTGACTTTCTTGTTCAACATGATATTCCCTTCCAGTGTCCAGCACAGTGCCTGGCACTTTTTTTTTTTAACAGCATGGGAACAATGTTTAGGAAGCAGTAAAGATTCTGGATTTTAAATTATTATGTTTCAGTCCTGT